CATCCACGCCTGCTCCATATCAGCTGATTACTCCAGTCTTTGTTCCGTCTCCCATATATACTCTCCCTGTGCAGTTCTTCAGTGCTGGGTTCTTGTTGTTAGTTGCTTCCTTGCTTCTGGCTCCCCATGTGGGTTTTCCCTGATGTATAATGTTTTCTTGGTTATTAGTATTTTTGCGTTTTTGGATGTTTGCCTCAGTTTTTCATTAAACCTACAAGAACTCATCTCTGCATTTGGGTTCTCAAGCAACCTCACCCTCCACGTTTGCAAGATGTTGTGACGGTTATAAAAAAAAAGAGAGAAGAAAGCCGTCCGTTACCCTCAATTCAATTCAGCTCAGTTTATTTATATAGCATCAATTCACAACACATGTCATCTCAAGGCACTTTACAGAGACCATTCACCCAGATCATTATCATGTTCAGATTGCTTCAAAGGAAAACCCGCTGACTGCTCATTGACTCAAAGGCAATCCCTCACACCAAGCAAGCTTGCATCTTCATACTGATATGGATGTACGCACATCGAGAGATTATTAAGCCATAGAATCTGGGTTATTGTTACTTTTAGATGTTTGGTTGGATTAGGCTTAAATATAGCAAATCCTCCATTTTTGATAATGCAGTTGTGTAACCTCTTTTCAATTTCTTGTAAGCACTCATGTAGAATTTCTCTCATGGAATGTAAAACGGCTCTTCATGCCATTCAGGGCACTGTTGTATAACCCTAATAAAGACCATAAGAAATAATTTAAATATGATAACTGTATAAAACCAGATATGGGTCCACAGTATATTACTTTAACTGTTAAAGTGAGCTTCCTCCACATGAGTCGTCTTCTTGGCTGAAGTCTGGATTTACAGTTTCTCCATCAAATGTCAGCTGACATGAATCTGATTGAGGGAATGATGAACCACAAGTTCTAGTTCTTTTTATATTAGATACGAAAAAGAGATTTTCTATACTGATTTGCTTTTTATGTCTACAGTTAATCTGCAGCATGAAGAAGTTTTGGTTAAGCTTTTGTCATTTTCCATGAATGATTTGCTGTCTACTTAGAGACTTTAAGTCCTTTTTATCTTGATCTGTCCACCATTGGCTTTCATTCTGACTGTCTTTCAACCACAGCTGTCAGACTCACTTGGAGCTAAGTTTGAAAAGGCACGACATGATCCATATAACAGTCTAAGTATACAGACAGTTAAAGTAACTCATTAGTAAAACATATAGAAAACAATTGGAGCATCTAAACTTTTAATTGCAGAGCTAAAGGAGATCAAATCAAATCCAATATACTTTAAATTGCACAGTGGTAAATAGTTTTTTTTGAAAATAAACTGAATTTGGACTTTACTTTTAATCACACTCATAGTGTTCATAACATAGTGGAAATTTATATTGTTAAAACACTTTAGAGTACAGTTTTAACAATCATGTTTAGGATGTAGGACAGGTATGGACAAAACCTATTAAATATATATTATGTCAGCTGACATTTTACAATTTTATTGTTCATCTTCTAACTCTTCACTAGTATCTTATTCTTACACATTTTTCTAAGGTGTTACCATTTTTTTCTATAATCTTTTTGATGCTGTAAACACCAAAATCTCCCCTTTGTAGGAAAATAAGGGATTTTCTGTTCTATTCTATTCTATTCTATTCTATTCTATTCTATTCTAACAGTTCCTCAATCAAAGAGAGATTGGGAGATCCTGATTCTAAGCATGCTTGCCAGAAGACTGCCAGGTGATAGTTTTTAACCACTGTTCTCTTGTATCAAGAAGGTATCGACTTCCATCCCAGGGCCTTTCTGCATGCCTGGAGTTTGGATGTGATCTCCCTGCATTCATGGTCTCTCCAGGTGTTCTGGCTTGTACAGTATGGTTGTCTTTGTGTTGCATTGCAATAGATTTGTGAATTCTCCAGGTTGACGTGGGATATAGGAGTTCATCCTGCAACCAACTGATTGCCAATTCAAATCTCAGCAAACTCCATCTCCGTTGGCGTGTCCTTCAGCAAGACACTTCATCGGCATTGCTGATTGATGGTCAGAGGGCTCACAGTGCTTGTGTACAGCAGTATACTGCCTCACATCTGTCAGTGAAGCAGTGGCTCTTATTTAGCTCCACCGTTTGTTTTTGCGTGAATGGGCGAATGAAAAGAGCATTTGAAAGTCCCCTAACTTGAAAAAAGGGGCTTTATAAATACAGGTAATTTACCATTTACCATGTATGTCACCCATTAACTGCTGAGGATAGACACTGTCAGTAACTTGGACATAAACAGGCCTGTACAAAAACATTGTTATCCCTTGAAAAGGCTGAAAATAAAGTGACTAAAGGGACATATTAAATCACAGTGTCTCTAATAATTAGTGTCTCTGGTCTTTACATATTGCAATCAGTCTTTAGCGGCTAAAATCTATATTTCATGGTACAGGTTTCTAATGCTCCTGTTTAGCTTTGGTCTTAGGTGCCTCAATCAAGAATTGCCATGCAGGTCTTCATTTGGACTTATTCCTAAAGCTATTTATTTCTGAGTTCCGCTGTCTTAAAATTTCAATTTAGTAGAAAATAAACCACCATAACTTCAAACTAAGCAAAATGCTCCTTCTCATTTAGCAGCACCTGAACAGAATGACACTTAACCTTAAATAACCGCCTTCCATTCCAACATAATAAATGCACAAAAAGAAATGCAACCCCTGATGGACAGAGATACAGAGAAATAAATAAAATTTATCCTACACAGTTGGTGGGCCTATACTATAGAGGGCCACATGTAGTCTCTCTGCTGTTTGGTTAGATGGTGTGTACCACACTCAACATGGACCAGAGGAAGCAAAGAAAAGAGTTGTCTCAGGAGTTAGAAAGAAAATTAGAAACAAGCATGTTAAACAGGTCTGGGCAATCTCCGAATTCTAACTCAAACTAACAGTTTGTAGAACAATGCAGTGGCTATTTACGCAAGGACCTATTTAGGTCATTATCAAGAAAGAAACATGGAAAGAGGCTAAATATCAGCTCCTAAATTAAACTCTAATGACCTGTTTTTGTTATCGTTGTATTTGCCCAAAGAAATTGTAGATTTAGTTCTGCTGAATCTAAAAATATCAAGAGGTTGAGAAAAATAGCATTGAGTTACAGAATTTAAAATTAATTCCCTTATATTTTTGTTTTTATGCGCTCTAGTTAAACTTAATTATCAAAAACTTACCATTGCTGCAAAGATTGGCCCATAATTATCCCACCATGCTTGATGGAAGCTGTTGCTACTATCATTGGTGGAGGGGGAAAGTTGCTTTCTCATAAACCACCCAGTAGATTTAGAACCTTTTCTCTCCTAATGCATCAAGTTATCATTTGAAAGGAGCTTTTAATTTTTAAACAGGTTGTGTCCTTTTAAGAATACCGTTCAGAAATATTTCATTGAGAAAGAATAAAAAACAAAACTAAAGTGACAAGAGATATTTATTTTTCAATATAAACAATCATGAGACCCCATATGCAGATTAGGATAAAGTGGAGGCACCAAATGTCAGCAATGTAACATCAAACACAACCGGAGACCCATATTAGAGTCATTGTTATGGAACAGGGGGTCCTACAACAGCAGTAGAGAAGACAATATATTCATGTAAATGTATAGATATATAATGTTGATGCCCACTGATGAATATAAAAGAGTAAAAACACTTGCAAATATACATTATATATATATATATCTAATAGGTTTTGTCCATACCTATCCTGCATCCTAAATATGATTAATACTGATGTCCCATAAACCTACTGCACATAAAACACGAATAAATGACCTTAAGTTTAACATTCTTTTGTCCATATAAACCATAAGAACCTGGTAAACGCTGTTACCCGATGGAGAGACCAGAACATTCTGCAGGAATTAACCGTCTTATGAAGGTAAGTTTAGGTTTGCTAAAAACTTTAACTTCAGATAAATGTGAAGTTCGAGTAATCCTTAAAGGATTTTATCTAATTAAAACAATTACACAGGTGGTTGGATTTGTTCTGTGTTTGTTCAGACTTTTATACGTAAGGGTGTCATTCCTTTAAGGGACATTTAATCTACTAAAGATTACATTTACAAAGGTTTGAGAAAATAATAGGGATGGAAATATTCTGCTCTGTTGGACAGAGTACACAGTGATATAAAATGAATGATAAGAGCAGCTATAAGAAAAATAAATTACATAAAAGAGAGAAGAAATTCCAAAGGACATGGACAGATTGGAACACAGCATTTAAAGTTTGACTCTAAACACATATTAGCAGCATTAGCTTTAAAAATCAATTAACAAGTAAAAAATAAATAGATATACAAGATAAATTCATCATATAACTGGACAGCAATGCATAGAAATAACATTTGTCTATATTTTACATGGACACAGTTTTGCGTTAATTATTCGTAATGAATTCCTAATTTTATCTGGGTATTAATCATATTCTGCTGCAGATCATGATGTGAAGCACATTTGAGCAGAGGTGTCAAGTAACTAAGTAAAAATACTTAATTTCCTTAATGTTAGCTATGTATACTTTATTGAACTAATTATTTTTTAGACAACTTCTTACTTCTACTCCTTGGTGTTTGAAAAAATAAATAAAAACCATCAAAATAATTTGTTTCATCTAGACAATTAATTTCTTTCTTTTTTTAATTAAAAAAATTTAATTTCCTTTGTGGTTGGACTCGGTGCTGCCCCAACTTGTTGTTCACATACCAAAATAAATAGCTTTTCAAGATGATGCAAAGTTAAATGTGACACTGTTACCATTAGTTATAAAACTAAGAAAATTAATTCTAAGGAAATTATCATCCATTTAATAGGCTAGTTCAGTAAAGCTTCTGTTCTTAACATTTTTTTCCTGCATTACTTTTACTTTTATACTTTAAGAAGTTTAAAAAATTGCACTTTTGCATGTTTACTGAAGTAAAAAGCTGAAGTTGATCCTTTAACTTCTAAAAAAAGTTTTTTAAACAGCAGGATTTTTACTTCTACTTGAGTAATATTTATTAATACTTTTGACACCTCAGTATTTGAATCTGAAAAAAATCAACTCATAGGCTATTGAGTTTGTTTGGCGAGATACTACAGAAAGAAAGAATTTCATGATGTAAAGTAGCATAATTCTAATTTTATTTATCTGTTTAAGTGATCAAATATGATAACTTTTTTAAATAAAATTAATTTCTGAGATCAGTGTCTTATCTGTCAGCAAAAAACTTTTCTAAGGAGGAAGATGACCTGCTCTCTGTTAAAAAGTAGAGCTTTAGAAAAAGATGACATCTAGATCCTAGAATAATTTAATTCTAGGATCTTTTATCTTTAAAGGACTAGACAATGGAGAGTTATTTAGAAGAGTTTCAAAGACCCAATAAATCCATCGGTCTGAAAATAATTGCCTGAATTAAATTAACACATATTTACAGGATAAAGAAGCACAATGAAAGATGTTCTGAAGTCTCAACACAGCAACACTGAGGAACCAGGTGAGATTGTAAATCCAGCGTAAAGAGTATCAGTAAACGTAGTGTTGAAGGTGTGAAGGTTGATCAGCGAGCCAGAGGAGACTCTGTAGAAGGACAGAATACCAGCAGGACAGTCCACATGCACTGCAACTCTGTTAGAGACGGAGGAGGGAGGGGACATTGTGGAAAGGAGTTTCCTGCTCTTATAATGAGAGATAGTGTAACCCTCATCACAGCAGCTCAGACACCAGGATTCATCAGTATTTCTTGACTGAGGATCCTTACTCTGAGCTCTCCTTTTGAATATTCTGTAACTCAATGTTATCTCGATTCTTCCTCTCCACTCAACCTCCCAGTAACAGCGACCTGTCAGAGCTTTGCAACACAGCAGCTGAGGAACGCTTAATCTGGCTACATGATCAGAACATGAGCTAGCTTCCTCCACATGTGTCGCCCTCTTGTTGTCATCGGATAGTTGGAAGTCTGGATGTAATGTTTCTGGGTCAAATGTCAGCTCACATGCATCTGATGGAGAGAACAGGAAACATTCAGCTAAACCATTTATTCCTATTTTAACAAAAATACAAGCAATACAAAACAATATAGACAGTTTGGATGTGTTTGTATGCAAGTTGCTTTGCTGTCATGAATCAAGAAAAAAAGAAACTTACCCCTCCATAGACCTGGTTTTAAATATCGTTCACCAGCAGGCTCTGATCTGAAAGGAGAAAGCCAGTCAACTATAAACTCTAGGGCCTTTATTAAAATATTATTCTACGCTAATAAAGGAACAATTTTGCATTTACACAGATACATCAAATTGTATCATCACTAAATGCAGCATCATTGCTTGTATTTCTAATCCTTTATTTCCTTTAACAACACCCGTTGCAGGAGGCTAACAAAAGAAGTCAAACAACCCCCATTCCAAATGGATGGACCCGATTCAATTAGCATGTTTTTTTTTTTTTTTTTTTTTTTTTTGTTTTTTTTTACAGTGTCCTGTCTGGCAAGGTGGCAATAAGAATAATTGTCTTGATGCCAAAAGGAGCCCAACAGATTTTACTTTCACAAGTGTAGCGGTATCGCAATTGCCATACCGCTCCACTTGTTTCATGTATATAAATTGCTTTATTATAATTATGCAGGGAGTTTTACAGTTCATATGGACACTGCAATGTAAGTAGAGCAGAAAAACAGAAGAAGAAGAAGGAAAAAGAAAAAAACAGGACAAAAGATGAAAGAAAGAGGAGATAGGAAGGAGACAATGACAAAACATTTTCAGTCTGCTTCAACACCTGTAATGAGATGGAGAAAAAAAAAAAAAAAAAAAAAAAAAAAAAAAGAACAGCACAACCAAAAAACATGGTACGAGATATACAATAAAGCAAACACCTTGAAACTATCACTAAAGTAATATTATTAAGTCTGACATGTACTCTGTGCCACCTGAAGATATGAATGTGGGGCCTCCGCCCGGAAGCGAATCTCCAAGCACCCGAAGCCCAGCACCCGCAGCTGCCCGTGAGGGTGAACCCGTGCATGCAAAGCTTTAACCATAGAAAAAAATGCTCAATAGTGGTTGTGGAGAGCCGGAGAGGCAAACCCCCCAGAGCACTGAGTCCAGCGCCGGGAGACCCAAAGCCCCAGGCGCCCAAGGGGACCCCAGAAGCGAAGGCACCAAGGCGGGGCCAGCCCCGGAAATCAGACCCCACCAAGGCAGGAGGAGAGACAGCCACGAGGAAGCCCCCCAGCCACCGCCATGCCGGCGCCCCGGGGAGCCGCGGGGACGAGTCCGCGGGCCCCGCCGGCAGCCGGCCACCCCGAAGTAGGGCCGGGCGCCGAACACCAGCCCCCCCACGGCGCCGACCGAAACGCCCCAGCCCCACAGAGCACCGAAACACGCCCCGCCCCCCCGCACCAAGCCCCGGCGACCGGCCGCAACACCCACCGCGACCGCACCACCCAGGAAAACACTAAGACGGCCCCGCCCCCGGCCGGGGCCCATGCGCATCCGCCGCGAACCGGCCACGAGCGCCGCGGGACCCCCCCCCAAAACGCCCCCCCGGCCAAAAGCGCAGCCCCACCCCACCAAGACCGATGCCAACAGCGCGCAACGAAACACACCGCGCACAGAATCAGCCCGAGAGCAGAAAAGCCGCCCGGCGCAAAACCGCAAGATGAGCAGACCGCAGCCGGCGCAACCACCCCCCCCAGCAGCCCGAGGGGCAGCACAAAGCCAGAGCGGAGCGAACCGCGCCGCCCCCCCACCGGACGATGCCAAAGCAGCCCAGCCACGTCCGCCACCCCCCCCCGCAGCCCGCACCAGGCCCCGACACGCGGCCAGAGCAGCTCCGCCGCCCCGGCCCCCCACCACGCGCCGGTCATAGCCACCCCAGGCCCCCACCCGCCCCGCAGCCCCACCCGCCGCGATCAGCGGGAACAGAGCAGCCCCGCCATGCCTCCAGGAGGGAAAACCCACCCGAATACCCAGCCAGCGCAGCCAGCCCGCCCAGACCGGCCCCCCAACACTACCCCCCGCCGGAGCCGCCCGGACCCCCACACACCAGCAGCGCGCCGCCAGCAGGACCCCCACCCAGCAGGCCCGCCTGCCCCCCGAGAAAACAGACATGCCAAACCCCCCAAAGAAAAAAAGAGAAAAAAAAAAAAAAAAAAAAAAAAAAAGGGGCCCCCACAATGCGACAGCGGACACCAGACACCGACCCGCCCGCAACCGCTCCCCCCCACCGAGGAAGAGAAAAAAAAAATAATAAATAAATAAATAAATAGGTAAATAAATTAATTAATTAATAATTACAATTAAAATAAATAGGCAAGAGGAGAAGTGCGAGCGGAAAAACCGGAGCCCAAAACCCGCACCCCACCATGCCGCGCAGCTCCCCCCCTCCCCGAACCGATACCACAGAACCGGCATAGGAAAGAAACACCGCCCAGGAACCGGCATCGTAGCGAAGGCACCGGCACCGACCCCGAAAATCCCCGAACAACACCCAGCCCCACCCCGAAGCGGATCCAGTCCCAGAACCCAGGGATCCGAGGCCCCAAGGGCACCCCACCCCCAGACAGGAGCCCCAGCAAAGCCCCGGCCGGCCGGGGCCAGTGGAGAGGCCGCCAGGAATGAGCCAGCAGTCCCCCGGGCATCCACCCCCAGCTCCACCAGTGCACCGGTGAGCCCCGACGCCAGCCAGCGGAGGGAGAGCAGGACGGGGGGAATGGGCTCCGCACTTAGCGGAGACTTGAGATGTATTTGGGAGAGGGTGCGGTTGAGACCCCAACCTGGGAAAGAAAAAAAAAAAAAAAAAAAAAAAAAAAAAAAAAAACACACCATCTCAATCATGCCTTCCCTCCCTAGTGCCCCCACTCGTACCACAGGAAAAAAAAAAAAAAAAAAAAAAAATTGAATAAAATAATAATAATAATAAATAAAGAAAATAACAACGCAGACACACATTCACACATAACACTCACATCCAATAATACCAGGACCAAAAACCCGGTGACACCGGTGGTCGGTCCCGGGACTATCGGATGACCCCATAAGTGAACCTAAAATCCGGATGTGAGGGGAGCGGCGACACCGCCACACCAACCCATCTCTTTCCTGCTTCAAGCCCGGCCCCCCACCCCGCACACGGACCGGACCACCCCCCGCAAGAGCCCCCCCCGGGACCGGGGCCCACCCATCCCGCGCCGGCCACCCAACCAGAACCGCCCCCCCCCCCCCGAAAAGAACAAAAAAAAAAAAAAAAAAAAAAAAAAAAAAAAAAAAACCTTCAACCAGGCACTTCATGCCCCTCCATCCAACCTTCTTTGGGGAGAGCAGAGGTGACAGCCCCGCCACCAGCAGGCCACCTAGGCCCCGCAGCCAGCCCCAGCCAAAACCACGGACCAGGTGGCCCGCTCTTCCTCCAGGCCCCAGACTCCAGGCGGCAGCCGGAGAACAGGGGTGTGAGAAGACCCCGATCCTCACTGCGCCCGCTCGAATGTGGTGTTGTTGCGTGTTGCTCTCAGATGCAATTAAAACTGGGAGTACCAAGAGGGGGTGTCCGGCACACTCCACCCCCCCTCCAGGAGATAGACGGTGCCAGCACACCCTCCCCCTTCGACAACCCTCAACCCTCAATGTCTAGAATTAGCATGTTTTCTAAGTAAATAAAAGGCTTTGTTGGGTTACTGTGTAACGCGTAAAACTCAACACTTTTTCTGACATTTTTAATTGAAAAAGTTTCCTGGATGGGAAGCGAAAATCTTCAAACTTGGAAAACAATTTTTATAACTATTGTTGGGGAATGGTGTAGTTTACCTCCCCCACAGCTTAGCTACAAATTAGCTTTCATTTTTTGTATCAGCAATGAAAAAAGGACCTTATCGTAAATGAAAAATGCTTAAACGGCTATAAGAATAAAGAGCAAATTGCTACAAGTATAAAGAACATATTTAAAGACTTTACGTGCATCGTTCTCAGTGGTAATGGAGCATCTCACCATACCTGAGAATTTCAAGTCTGCAGTGAGGATCTCTCAGTCCAGCCGAAAGCATTTCTACTCCTGCTTGACCTGGATGATTGTAGCTCAGATCCAATTCTTTAAGATGGTTTGGGTTTGATTTGAGTGCTGAAGCTAGAAAACCACATCCATCCTTCGTGATCAGACAGCCTGACAAGCTGTAAATACAGAAATCCACATCATGATTTACTGTGCAATACTAAGGCTATTCTGTTAAAAATATATGTGATAGACCGACACAATGTAAGCACAAATGTAAGATGTGAGAAAGTCACAATTGGCTTTCAAGACTTTATTTATTTATTTTTTTTAACCAAAATCAGTCTAAAATGTTTAGCATTCATTGATAACTAACTTATTTTCCCCTGATATCCCTAAGAAAACTAATACATTGCATGGATGTGTTTTAACCAGCAACCTAGCAGTCAGAGTATCAACCTGCACCTCCATCGCCTCTTTTATACACTGCAAAAATAAAAAATCTAAGCAAGCAATTTTTTCTCAATATAAGTGCATTTCTTCTTGAATTGAGGAGGTAAGTGAGACATTTTGTCAATAGAATAAGACAATTAACATTTCAAATAAGAACAAAACAACTGCAGTCTCTTATTTCAAGCACATATTATCTAATTATCTATTTGAACAGTAAAAATGCTCATTCCATTGGCAGATTATCTTATTTTCCTACTCAGATAAAGGGGAAATTAATTTAATTAAGGACTTTATTACTTATTTTAGATTGTTTTTGCAGTGTATGACGATGTTTTTGGACTTTAACAAAAGTAAAGGAACATGTAAAAGACAGTAAGGTAACAGTTGGTATTGACTGAAACAATAAATCCATAAATGTAATGGATTTGAGTCCTTGTCGTTAATGAGTTCAAGATCAACTCAAGGCATAGCTTTTACCTTTCTTGAGTCCAGGGTATGTACCTATTCTTAAATCTGAAGAAGCAGCTTTATTCCTTATTTACCAATAATGAAGAACAGATTTATGAAAAACTTGTTGCTTAAAATCAAGGTTAAAAACAAAATTTGCATAAACCTGCCATTGTTTGTTTTATTCATCATGCCAGTGCAACGTACATTTTACATTAAATATGTTTTATTAAAAAATAGAAATTGGATTTTCCTTTTTTAAACTAAGGTCAATACAAAATGATTAAAAGTTACATTTGAAGATAACATGTATGATCTATCTATCAATAGACAAAAATCACTATTAAGATGGCCAATCAAAGTTAATGATACTTACTTTATCCTTTCTAGTATGCAGTGAGGACTCTTTAGTCCCTCGGACAGATGCTTCACTCCTGAATCCTTCAGATTGTTGTTTTTCAGGTCCAGTTCTCTAAGACTGGAGGACTGGGACCTGAGCACTGAAGACAGAGCTGCACAGCTTGTCTTTGACAAGTTACAGCTGCTTAGTCTAAAGAAAGACAACAAAAATGAGGGAACCCAACATAAATATGATGACTTAATAAAGTAGATATTGCAAAATCTTGTTAAGGCAAGTTGTTAAAACACTCTTCTATCTAAGTGTATTATCTACCAGCACAATATTTTTCAATACAAAGGAAATATATAGAAATGCCATGTAAAGATTTCTTAATCTGTCTCTATTGCTTTATTTTGAGTGCATTATGATATGTTTGTACTGAGAGCCCTCAATCCCCAATTTTTCAATGAAATGCTTCAAAACATTTCAAACAATCCAAAATAAGTAATAAAAACTAACTAGATCAGATGATCTTATTAGTAGAAGCCCTGAAAACAAGTCCTTGCCTCAGCCTAATACGTTGTCCTTGCTCAACTGCACAAAACTGACAAGTGTAACTGTTATCAACCAATCCCAACAAAGATACACTTGATTATACTTCTATCAGTATTTTTCCACCTTTCTCTTATATTGATTTATGCTTAAATCTATTTTGCAACTTTTTTATCATCAAGTGTAAAGACATAACCACCATCCATGTGACTGGCTGTCCGTCTCTAATTTCCTGTGATCAGGTACATCTTCTATATGTCTGCGTAAAATTATGAGTAGAAAACAGTTTGAACTGTCTGTTATGTTAATAAAAAGTACAAAATCATTTGATTATAGTGTTAACATAGTGAGACATATGTTGTAATGCCCTAAAGTTTTAGATAACAAGTAAAAATCTTTTTGTATCCTTACATAGCTTTGTTGGAGGCTTTAACCACTGGCAGCAGCCTCAGAAGAACCTCCTCTGAAGCAGAGTATTTCTTCAGGTCAAACACATTCAGATCTTCTCCAGAGGATAACAGGATGAACCCCAGAGCAGACCACTGAGCAAAAGTCAAGTTATCATGGGAGAGACTTCCTGACGCCAGAGACTGTTGGATTTCCTCTACCAGGGATCGATCATTCAGTTCATTCAGACAGTGAAGAAGATTGATGGTTTTCTCTGCAGACACATTCTCACTAATCCTGTTCTTTATATACTGGACTGTTTTCTGGTTGTTGTGAGAGCTACTTCCTGTTTCAGTCAGCAGACCTTTCAGGAGTTTCTGATTAGTTTGGACTGAAAGTCCCAGCAGGAAGCGGAGGAACAAGTCCAGGTGTCCATTTGGACTCTGTAAGGCCTGGTCTACAGCATTATGATGCAGTAATTTTGTTTTAGATTTGTTGAATAATATTGGCACAGCTGTTTGTTTTTCTTCCATCAGGTTGACACCTGAGTTGATGAAAGTCTGATGAACATGAAGAGCAGCCAGAAACTCCTGAACACTCAGATGGACAAAGCAGAACACCTTCTCCTGCAGCAGCCCTCTCTCCTCTTTGAACATCTGTGTGAACACTCCTGAGTAAACTGAGGCTGCTCTGATATCGATGCCACATTCTCTCAAGTCTGATTCATAGAAGATCAGGTTCCCCTTTTGCAGCTGATTAAAAGCCAATTTTGCCAGAGCCTCAATCATTTTTCTGTCATCTGTACTCCAGTTGGAATCTGTTTCTACCCCTCCTTCATACTTGACCTTCTTCATTTTGGTCTGAACCAACAGGAAGTGGATGTACATTTGAGTTAGTGTATTGGGCAGCTCTCCTCCCTCTTTTTTCCTCATCACAGCCTCCAAAACTGTAGCAGTGATCCAGCAGAAAACTGGGATGTGGCACATTATATAAAGACTTTGTGATGTCTTTACATGGGAAAGTATTTTGCAAGCTTGCTCATCTCCAAATCTCTTCCTGAAGTACTCCTCCTTCTGTGGGCCAGTGAAACCTCTGACCTCTGTCACCATGCCAACACACTGAGGAGGGATCTGATTGGCTGCTGCAGGTCGTGTGGTTATCCAGAGCAGAGCAGATGGAAGCAGTTTCCCCCTAATCAGGTTTGTCATCAGAACATCCACTGAGGTGGACTCTGTAACATCAGTCAGGATCTCCTTGTTGTGGAAGTCCAGAGGAAGTCGACTCTCATCCAGACCATCAAAGATGAACAGAACCTGGAGGTGTTCAAAGCTGCTGATTTCTTTGGTTTCCGTAAAGAAGTGATGAACTAGTTCCACCAAGCTGAACTTTTTCTCTCTCAGCACATTCAGCTCTCTGAAGGTGAATGGAAATATGAACTGGATGCTCTGGTGGGCTTTGCCTTCAGCCCAGTCCAGAGTGAACTTCTGGGTTAAGACTGTTTTCCCAATGCCAGCCACTCCCTTAGTCATCACTGCTCTGATTGGTTGATCTCTTCCAGGTGGGACTTTAAAGATGTCTTCTGGTCTGATTGTTGTTTCTGGTCTTTGTGGGTTCCAGGATGCTGCTTCAATCTGTCGGACCTCGTGTTCATCATTGACCTCTCCAGTCCCCCCGTCTGTCATGTAGAGCTCTGTGTAGATCTGGTTCAGAAGAGTTGGACTTCCCGCCTTAGCAATTCCCTCAAAGACACACTGGAACCTCTTTTTTAGACCAGTTTTATGTTTTCGTTGACAAACTCCAGTGAGATTTACTTAGTGAAAATAGAACAAACAATTTTATTATTTGTGTCACCTGAAAATGTTGTTTACTCTTTAGAGTAAATCTGCAGAAATTGTCTTACTGCTCTGCAGACGGTCAGCCAGCTTCTCCTCCTTCATTCTTCTCAGGAAGTTCACTGTGATCTTCATCAGTGCCTCTCTGCTTCTCCTCATCTGCTCTTCCTCATCACCTTCCAAAACCTCCTCATCCTTTCTTAGACTTTCTGGGCATTCTGGGTTATCTAGACTTAAAACTTTCTGGATGGTATTCAACTCCTTCTTCACGAAGTTGAAAATGCTGTCTTCCAGCAACTAAAACAGACAGAAATCAGACTGATTTCAAGGACTTAGACTTCATTGTCATTTTGCACACACAGAAGGTATTCAAACAGAAATTACATTCATGGAATAGTCGGAGAGTGCACTACTTTACAAACTGAAGCAGAGATTACTTTGAACATAACAAATGAAAAGAAGTTGTTGCATGTGTACTGACCATAAATATAGATGCCAGCTCTGATTGATGCAGCTGGGAAGATGAACCACTGTCCACATCTAAACTCTGGTGGTCCTCTCTGTGGACAAATCAATACAATTATCTCAGAATACGTCTATCTGGATTTTTACTTATGTTAGAAATAAACTGGGTTATTTAGGGCTTATACATGAGAAAAATTTTGAATTCTATTCTGAATTGAACAAGATGCCAATGAAGGAATACTAATATAGGAGGAATATGATCTCCTAATACAATGAGCTGAGGGATTTTTTTTTTTATATATATATATATATATATATATATATATATATATATATATATATATATATATATATATATATATATATATATATATATATATATATATATATATATATATATATATATATATATAAATTACAATATAATATATACATATCTCATATTGTAATTGAATAAAGGCCAATCATTGCTCTGAATGGTTTCCACTTGCTTATAATGAAAAAGAATGATCCAGGGCATCTCAAACAAACAAACAAACAAAACAATGCGAATAAGGGTTGGTCTTGTGTTGGATACAGCTTACTGTAACACAGTAGCTACCTTTACTTTCCTTGTGAAACTAAAAATACATTTTGGTGAGACACCTGATACAAAATATACATGTAGATTACAGACAGAAATGGCAAAAATAGTTATAAAAATTAAAGAAAAAGACATCCCTAGAGAAGACTTATTAATTACAAAACCTCCTCAGAAGAAAACCCAAAATAAGAAATACAAAAGAGCCATAGCAGAAGACTTAAAAAGACATTCTTTGTCAGAAATACTTGAAGCAATGAAAGAAAAATATAATGGATACTATGGAAATATGGACTCCACCCTAATTACAATAAAATAGAATAGAAAAATATTTTAAGGTGTGAATGTAGCTAAAATAAATAAAAAGGTGAGCTTAAAGGTAGACAACAGACTGAAGAATGGAAAAGCTTTGTAAATGAGCAGAGTTGTAGATAAGCAAAGCGTTAACTAATAGCCTTTATTTTTGTTGGGTCGGTGAAGAAATAAATTGACAGATTTTAACTTCTGTAACATAAATTTCATAATGAAGAAAGCATTTGAGACCGACTTATGTAAGAGAGATACAGGAGTGTACAGCTCACCTCTCTGCTGACTGAGAAGATTTAAAATCAATCCATTTTTCCTTAGAATCATTACTCTTGTAGGACCAATTTCTGGGCTGAGCTTCAGGTCCAGGTCTGACTGCCTGAATCCTGTGAACATTACAAAACCTCATGATGGAAAATATCTGAATTAAGATTACAAATAATAAGCACTAACTACAATTAGGCCTTTAAATATTTTCAGACTTCATTTGAATGAATTATTTTTAAACATCTTGTAAAAAATGTAAAAAAGTTCTTGTAAACCTGAGTTTTAACATTGTTTTTGTCTTTGCCTCTCGGCAGGAAGTCATCCTGCAAACTGGATTTTTCGGACCTTCTCTCCCTGGAAGGAGCAACAGAGCCTCAAGCTGAACTGGGTTTAAAAACAGGAGGTTTGGATCCACTTTCCCCAAGAGATCGTTTGAGCCTCACACTGAGAAAGGGATTCATCTCCACTACGACCCGTTCAAGTACCACAGGAAATCTGAGTGGCAGTCAGTTTCTCCGTTCACCTACAAACAACCGCATTCTGGGTAAACCCTCTTCCGCCCTCCACCGAATCAGACAAACACTGGAACTACAGCATACAGACTGGAGTCATAGATTCAACAACTTCTCTGGAAATGTGAGTCAGCAACCAGATCCTCTTCTCCAAGTTCACAAATCAAATTTCCCACTGAGCCTAAACTAATCGCTGTGTCTTCCCCTCACTTTCCAGTTCCGGATGAGCAGTGTTCAGAGCAACACTTCTCTCTGCATTATCTCTTCAATAAAACCTGTTAAACCTTTTCTACTGGTCTCCCTGTTTGGTCTACAGCATTTGGGTCTGAACTTTAGTAAAATCATGACAAGTAAAAAACTTGAAAAGACATTCTTTGGGAGAAACACTTCAGGCACCCGAGGAAGATATAAACATCACTGAAAGAAAAATATAATGGACTCCACCCTAATTACAATAAAGTTGAATAGAAACATATTTTTATTATGTGAATGTAGCTAAAATAAGTAAAAAGGTGAGCTTAAAGGTACACAACAGACTGAAGAAAACAATAAAAGAACAAAATTCTTAGAGTAATCTGTACAGAAAAAGAGAATAACTCCATGCAGTCATTGATAGATATTACGATAACATGAAATGTCAGAAAGCTGGAAAAGCTTTGTAAATGAGCAGAGTTGTAGATAAGCAGTGTTTACTATTAGCATTTATTTTTGTTGGGTCGGTGAAGAAATAAATTGACAGATTTTAGCTTCTGTAACATAATGTCATAATGAAGAAAGCATTTGAGACCGACTTATGTAAGAGAGATACAGGAGTGTACAGCTCACCTCTCTGCTGACTGAGAGGATTTAAAATCAATCCAGTTTTCCTTAGAATCATTACTCTTGTAGGACCAATTTCTGGGCTGAGCTTCAGGTCCAGGTCTGACTGCCTGAATCCTGTGAACATTCATGATGGAAAATATCTGAATTAAGATTACAAATAATAAGCACTAACTACAATTAGGCCTTTGAATGTTTTCAGACTTCATTTGAATTAATTATTTTTAAACATCTTGTAAAAAATGTATAATTTTTTTTTTTTTTTTGCCTCTTGGCAGGAAGTCATTCTGGATTTTTAAGACTTTCTCTCCCTGGAAGGGGCAACAGAGCCTCAAGCTGAACTGGGTTTACAAACAGGAGGTTTGGATCCACTTTCCCCAAGAGATCGTTTGAGCTTCACACTGAGAAAGGGATTCATCTCCACTACGACCCGTTCAAGTACCACAGGAAATCTGAGTGGCAGTCAGTTTCTCCGTTCACCTACAAACAACCGCATTCTGGGTAAACCCTCTTCCGCCCTCCACCGAATCAGACAAACACTGGAACTACAGCATACAGACTGGAGTCATAAATTCAACAACTTCTCTGGAAACGTGAGTCAGCAACCAGATCCTCTTCTCCAAGTTCACGAATCAAATTTCCCACTGAGCCTAAACTAATCGCTGTGTCTTCCCCTCACTTTCCAGTTCCAGATGAGCAGTGTTCAGAGCAACACTTCTCTCTGCATTATCTCTTCAATAAAACCTGTTAAACCTTTTCTCCTGGTCTCCCTGTTTGGTCTACAGCATATGGGTCTGAACTTTAGTAAAATCATGACAAGTAAAAAACTTGAAAAGACATTCTTTGGGAGAAACACTTCAGGCACCCGAGGAAGATATAAACATCACTGAAAGAAAAATATAATGGACTCCACCCTAATTACAATAAAGTTGAATAGAAACATATTTTTATTATGTGAATGTAGCTAAAATAAGTAAAAAGGTGAGCTTAAAGGTACACAACAGACTGAAGAAAACAATAAAAGAACAAAATTCTTAGAGTAATCTGTACAGAAAAAGAGAATAACTCCATGCAGTCATTGATACATATTACGATAACGTGAAATGTCAGAAAGCTGGAAAAGCTTTGTAAATGAGCAGAGTTGTAGATAAGCAGTGTTTACTATTAGCATTTATTTTTGTTAGGTCGGTGAAGAAATAAATTGACAGATTTTAGCTTATGTAACATAAATGTCATAATGAAGAAAACATTTGAGACCGACTTATGTAAGAGAGATACAGGAGTGTACAGCTCACCTCTCTGCTGACTGAGAAGATTTAAAATCAGTCCAGTTTTCCTTAGAATCATTACTCTTGTAGGACCAATTTCTGGGCTGAGCTTCAGGTCCAGGTGTGACTGTCTGAATCCTGTGAACATTACAAAACCTCATGATGGAAAATATCTGAATTAAGATTACAAATAATAAGCACTAACTACAATTAGGCCTTTAAATGTTTTCAGACTTCATTTGAATAAATAATTTTTAAACATCTTGTAAAAAATGTAAAAAAGTTCTTGTCAAACTGAGTTCTTGTCAACCTGAGTTTTAACATTGTTTTTGTCTTTGCCTCTCGGCAGGAAGTCATCCTGCAAACTGGATTTTTCGGACCTTCTCTCACTGGAAGGAGCAACAGAGCCTCAAGCGGAGCTGGGGTTCAAACAGGAGGTTTGGACCCACTTTCCCTGGGAGATCATTTGAGCTAGGCCTTTAAATGTTTTCAGACTTCATTTGAAATAATTATTTTTAAACATCTTGTTAAAAAAAGTAAAAAAGTATCATCATATTACATGAACAAAAATCAAGAGTCTTTATAGCATCTATGTTTGAAGTTAAATCAAAGTTTAAGCACCACTAAGTGGGAAAAAAGTACTTGTAGTCATTTCATGTAGAAGAAATACCTTTTACACAAAACTATTAAAATCACCCCTTAAAGTGGGAATTTGGACAGGGTAAATAACTTTAATTGACAATATTCCCTTTATATTTCATGTAAAATGTTTTGACAAATACATAAATACTTCAAATAAACAAGGTCAGTCATTGCTCTGATTGGTTAGAACCTGCCTATCATTAAAATGAATGATCCATGGCGCCTAAAGCAAACAAATAAACATAGAGATGATGAGAAAGGGCAGCAGTTACATCCAGCTTACCTTTCTGTTGTTGGATCAGGAGAAGATTTAAAATGACCAAAAATGTCCTTTGAATCGTTGCTCCTAAAGGACAGATTGCTGGGTCCCCTTTCAAGTTCAGATGTGACTCTCTGGATCCTACTAAAAACAAAATGATTTTTATAGAATTTCTTTTATAAAAAACAGCAATTATTTGTTACAGACAAATATTAAGATCAATCACCTTCACTGTCTTACTAATACTACTGTATAATGAAATTTTAGTGAGACACTTGGTACAGAAAAAAAAAGTAGCATCCTTAGAGTAAACCCTTAAAGTACAAGAAACCCTCAGAACTGAAACTCAAAATATGAAAATATAATTCGTTTGGAATATCGGCAAAGAAACAACTGACAAATTTAGCTCATGTTACATAAATGTCATAACAATATTTTTAAAAAAGGAAAATCTGACAGACTCAGGACATTTCTCCAGGTCCAGGTTCAGATGTTCCTCTCTGGATTCTGTGAACATTACAAAACGTCTTGATAAAAAATGTCTGAATTAAAAATATAAATTAGAAGAACTTTAAACCATAATAAAGCCTGAAAATGTTTTTTGTGCTTAATTTGAATGCTTCAGTTTAAAAATTATGTTAAATTGTTTTTGAAACATCACTTGTTACGAACTTCTCATAAAATAAGTCAAAAAAAAACTACCATCTAATATGAATGAAAATTATAAGCCTTTAATTCATTAACTATTCAAGGGATAATGTTTGAGCACCATTGGGTTGTAACCAAGTTTCTTATAGGCAGAAGTAGGTAGCGTACACAAAAATTGTACTTTAGTAAGAATACTTCTACTTAAACTATGTTTTCAGTCAAGTCAAAGTAAAAAAGTAGTCATACAAAATTATTAAAGTACTTAATAATTATTGGATCATACCATCTGGTTTAAAAATATTGCACTGAAACTGATTGGATGTGCAAATAATATTATTTTAAATAAAAACATATATTTGAAATAAAAATACAAGACATTATTGATTATAAATATTAAATTAATGTAGCAAAAAAAAAAATCAAAATCCATTTTCCAAAATATCCACTGGCAACATTTTAATGTTTAGTGTACATTCAACTGATATCTGAACAGCTCAGGCTTCTCACAGTGGACATAGAAACCAGACATTTTGCACTTTTACATTAAACTTAGTTTCCATCATATTCTGAATTGAAATATTTAATCTATTCTTTTTGAAGAGCATCGTTTAAAGGTTGCATGACTTAGGGCTCTAAGAAATGTCTTCAGCTCTGCTTCCGTTGGCCTTTACACCAGTGAATATTTTCCTTGACTTTGTTTCTAATTTGACCAACTCAATTTGTGGGACAGAAGTAACTATGCATCACAGTCCAGCAAAAATCTAGTTAACTTATTACAGTGGTAGCCATTAAACATTTCAGCACTTTCCTTGATGGCCCCTTGTCTGGTCCCCTACAATTCCTTTTTAAACATCAATCTTTGCACTAAAATATTATTTCTGTCATGATTTGTGGACATTAAGATCAAAGAGAAGCATCATCTCCTGGCCAGACCCTGTAATTCAGTGAAAGGGTGGAGTCAGAGTAAAATAATATGCAAGAGTGTGTCATCGCAAATGTTTTCCCATTCAGTCATGTATACAGTAGCCATGCATCAGCGCTGTGCTGCACAATTTAGCAGCAATGTTGGCAGATTTTGGTGCTTTACCTAGATCATTTTTTAAACGTCAGCATCTGCTTTATTCACAACTGACAGTTTTGTGAAGCTTTGGATAATAAATGCATTCTGTGATGAGTTGAAAGGTTAACAGAGAGCATTCTGAAGCTAATATAGTGGCCTTCAGCCTATGACCATAAACTACAGAGAGATTTGTTTTAATTCCTTTACATGAACACAGAATTCTCTACTATTCTTGGTGTATCAATCTTTTCCACAATAACATCAGTCTAATTAATCCAAACTGATTGTTAGGACCAGTTTCTTCAGTTTATTTTTGTGGAAATTTGTATGAAGTGGGTGAGGGACATTGAGTCCGAGAGGACCATGTTCCGTTCCTCCATTGTCAAGGCGGCTTATCTGAGCTGCGGCCGCAAGGTTGTCGGTGCCTGTCGTGGCGGCAACCCTCGAACCCGTTGGTGGACACCTCTGGTGAGGGATGCTGTCAGGTTGAAGAAGGAGGCCTATCGGGCCTTTTTGGCCTGTGGGACTCCGGAATCAGCTGATGGGTACCGGAGGGTGAAGCGGCATGCGGCTCGGATGGTTGCTGAGGCAAAAACTCGGGTATGGGAGGAGTTTGGAGAGGCCATGGAGAAAGACTTCCGCACGGCTCCGAAGCGATTCTGGTCCGCCATCCGGCGTCTCAGGAGGGGGAAGCGGTGCAGCACCAACACTGTTTATAGTGGGGATGGTGTACTGCTGACCTCGACTCGGGACGTTGTGGGTCGGTGGGCGGAATACTTCGAAGACCTCCTCAATCCCACCAACATGTCTTCCATTGAGGAAGCTGGGCCTGGGGACTCTGGACTGGGCTCTCCAATCTCTGTGGGCGAGGTCGCCGAGGTGGTTAAAAAGCTCCTCGGTGGCAGGGCCCCGGGGGTGGATGAGATCCGCCCGGAGTTCCTGAAGGTCCTGGATGTTGTAGGGTTGTGTTGGCTGACACGACTCTTCAACATTGCATGGACATCGGGGGCAGTTCCCCTGGATTGGCAGACTGGGGTGGTGGTCCCCCTATTCAAAAAGGGGGACCGGAGGGTGTGCTCCAATTACAGGGGAGTCACACTCTTAAGCCTCCCTGGCAAGGTCTATTCGGGGGTGCTGGAGAGGAGGGTCCGTCGGATAGTCGAACCTCGGATTCAGGAAGAGCAGTGTGGTTTCCGTCCTGGTCGTGGAACGCTGGACCAGCTCTACACCCTCAGCAGGGTCCTGGAGGGTGCATGGGAGTTCGCCCAACCAGTCTGTATGTGCTTTGTGGACTTGGAGAAGGCGTTCGACCGTGTCCCTCAGGGGGCCCTGTGGGGGGTTCTCCGGGAGTACGGGGTGCCGGGCCCTTTGATACGGGCTGTCAGGTCCCTGTATGACCGGTGTCAGAGTCTGGTCCGCATTGCCGGCAGTAAGTCGGGCTCATTTCCGGTGAGAGTTGGACTCCGCCAGGGCTGCCCTTTGTCACCGATTCTGTTCATTACCTTCATGGACAGAATTTCTAGGCGCAGCCAAGGTGTTGAGGGGATCCGTTTTGGTGGCCTTAGGATTGCGTCTCTGCTTTTTGCAGATGATGTGGTCCTATTGGCTTCATCAGTTCGTGATCTGCAGCTCTCGCTGGATCGGTTCGCAGCCGAGTGTGAAGCGGCCGGGATGGGGATCAGTGCCTCCAAATCCGAGGCCATGGTCTTGAGCCGGAAAAGGGTAGAGTGCCTTCTCCGGGTCAGGGGGGGGTGTCCTGCCCCAAGTGGAGGAGTTTAGGTATCTTGGGATCTTGTTCACGAATGAGGGAAGAAGGGAGCGGGAGGTCGACAGGCGGATTGGTGCAGCGTCTGCCGTGAAGCGGGCGCTGTACCGGTCCGTCGTGGTGAAGAGAGAGCTGAGTCAAAAAGCGAAGCTCTGGATTTACCGGTCGATCTACGTTCCTACCCTCATCTATGGTCATGAACTCTGGGTCATGACCGAAAGAGCGAGATCGCGGATACAAGCGGCCGACATGGGTTTCCTCCATAGGGTGGCTGGGCTCTCCCTTAGAGATAGGGTGAGAAGCTCGGTCATCCGGGAGGGACTCGGAGTAGAGCCGCTGCTCCTCCACGTCGAGAGGAGCCAGTTGAGGTGGCTTGGGCATCTGTTTAGGATGCCTCCTGGACGCCTCCCTGGTGAGGTGTTCCGGGCACGTCCCACCGGGGGGAGGCCCCGGGGAAGACCCAGGACACGCTGGAGAGACTATGTTTCTCGGCTGGCCTGGGAACGCCTTGGGGTTCCTCCTGAAGAGCTGGAAGAAGTGGCTGGGGAGAGGGAAGTCTGGGCCTCCCTTCTTAAGCTGCTGCCCCCGCGACCCGACCCCGGATAAGCGGAGGAAGATGGATGGATGGATGGATCGATGGGTGAGTTTTTCCTAATGTGACATATTGGAAACTAGAGCTGTAACTCAGCTGGTCCTGCAACACTTTCAGTATGTGAGATCACACTGGTACCACACTCAGCTGCCTCTGTTGCGTCTGATGAAGCACTGAGGAACAACAGCAGCGGCTTTATGAGCAGGTCTCATTTGGCCTCATATAGTGGGAAAGTTGGTGGTGATCTCACCTCTGAGTTTTGCTCTGGGTCTCCTGCTCCCCACATAGAGACGTTTTGGGGAGAGGAACTCCCTCCTCTCTGGCCTCACACTGATTCATGGCACTGAATTCACCCCAGCATCAGCTCACACACACTCTCTGCCTTTATCTGGGGAGGAAACAGAAATCCTTCATCTGCATATCAAATTTTGTGATAATTTAGATAATTTGGGCTAAAAAATATATAAGCTCCTCTTATAGTCTCTTCTAATCAGCTTCAGTTAAAAGCAGTTATGCAACAGTATGAGGAAGCTGCAATCAGCTGCTTCACTTCTACTAGCAGCCCACTAGATAGAGAAATAAAGGAATATTTCTATCCATTGGCACAGCTTTAATTTAGATTGACACTTTACTCCACCATATTGACTCCATAAAACAGGTTATAATCAGTGTTAAAATCATCAGACTTATTATCACTGGTGAGTTTTCAGGGGACTTTAGAGCAGGAAAAATAATGACAAGTTAGATCTCTGCAGACAGAAAGAGATTAATCAAGAGGATAACATATTAACTTTCCTTTTACTGAGACAAAAAACATACTTTACATAAAGCAACACTCAACACTTTGAAACAATCTTTTAGTAACATCAAATCAAGTGAAACTGGTTAAGTTAAACTTGTTGAAATGAGAAGTGAAAATTTTCAGCCTTAAACCTTAAAGTTTATCAAGATAAGTTCTAGTATGAAAACAGGTAAACTTACGTTCTGTGTAAATAGTCCAAAGTGTTGAAGAAAAAAAAAATAGATGTTAGCAGACCAGACTTTAACTCAGCTGCTTCCTGGAAGGAGTTGGATATTTACCTGTGATGGAGCAAAG